AAATAATTGGTTTCTTTTTTCATGGCCTCGTTTATAAGAAGGTCATGTCGTGGCATTGGAGCTCCGCGATGGAACAAGGCTGTTTCAGACTCCAATTATGACAGGGAAAACATTTCTGGAAATCCACCATCAGATTATTGGATAGATTTGAAAGCAAAATACGATGAAGTTATACGGTGAATTCGCTTACAAATTACTTTCCAATAGTCTGGCTTAGGTAATTAATAGTTTTGGCGCAAATAATTATTCGTGGTAGGGCGTCTTACAAGCCTGCACGCGAAAGTACCACCATTTTGATCATTTCTCTAGGAAGCACACATGGTTTTCGGTTTAAGGGGTCAGTCATCCATCATACATTAAACTTCAGTATTCGACCTCAAGTCTCAAGCGTGGTGGCATTCTCATTGTGATATCCCGAGACCCCTAACAACAGGGGACCGAGAGCTCGTCAACCCATCAATGCAATCCAAAATAAATCATACGCGGTTATACGTCAAACTGAAGTCATACGTCAAACTAAAGTCATACGTCAAACTAAAGTCATACGTCAAACTAAAGTCATACGTCAAACGCAAGTCTGTCAGCTCTTTCTAACGGACTAACTAATTCTTAGTCGATAAAATTAAATCGGCACATGCAAAGCGAACTAGTTTAGATATGCTGCAATGCAATATGTCCATTTAAGGCGAACTGATATTAAATTATATAAACTTACTAAATTAGTGGTAATCATGTAATTATCTCCGTAAACGGGAAAACGGCTTCCTTCTGTTGAATCTGATTTATTACCTGAACTCTGTATAGAATATGTGTCCAAGGATTCCGCGAGTCAAACATAAATAAAGAAAATAATACAAAAAATGTATGTTACGTAAAATTCGAATTTTAATATAAGCACATGAATAAGGGTAAATGAATTTTATTACATTTAATTTGAGATCTGTATTTCAGTTGTTTGGCATTTTTTGACCCGCGATACGGACAAATAGAGCTTTAGTTAGACAGAGACTAACAATAATTTTTAATATATTATATGTTTGTTTTGTGCTGTTGGTTTCCCAAATAAATAAATAAATAATGTAATGCATTTTTGTTTACAAGTTTTTGTAGGATATTTTTTTTAAAATCACATTATTGAGATGAATTACTTGTCATTAATATTCCTTGTTCCATTAAGAGATTCATAAGCTCTCTTCTTTGTCTTTGAGAAATTTGAATTATTAAGGACATATGTAACTATTTGATAAAGATTTGTGTACATGGTGAAATCAAACAACATTCTCTTTATTTACTACCGGAAAAAATGTTTCGTGTCTATCTATTTCATACCTATTAACTTGCAGTACCTAACTAGTAATTTATCGAAGGTCTGTTCATTAAATTTTAAATTACATTCATAATGTATGTACATAAATTTGGTTGACGAAACGTGCCTGTGTATCCATACCTTAATTTACGAAACAGAAATTACAATTGTATATCGAAATCCAACTGTCAAAACAACAGTTCAGCTAACCTTAGAGTTAGCTCCAGATTCATACGCACACCACTATACCTTGACCTCGCAAAAATCGTCCCCCAACCTATTATTCAAATCGATACTTTAATCGATTTTCCCGGTGACTCAAACTTCCTATAAAGGTTACGACTATTTAATTAAGAGCTCTCAGTATGTGAACGCCGTTCTAATATATGAGGATGTCGTTGTGGTATCGGATTGCACCTAAAAAGGTGGGTCATTTAGCCGATAAATGGTAGTAGACGCCAAGGTCGATTGAGTTGTAAATAAGCTTCTAGTAGCTTCACTTAAGAATTCGATAATTAAACTAATGTCCAAAAATTGTCTCTAACACCGTCTTCTACTTTACTATGATATTAGTTCGTCGTAAAAGTTATTCGTGAACATTCGATAAGTATGTATTTAATTAGAAAAAATGGTACCTACCTTCCTATAAATCGCCTATGCGTCTATTGAGGCGCCTAATTCTGTAGGCCACGACTTCTACGAAAAATATACTTTTCTATTTTAGGAGCAAAATGGGAGTTATTTTTCTAGAATTAAAATACTAGATTCTATACTATTCTATACTGGAAGTTTCTGGAGAACCACTAATGTATAATACGAACCAATTGAAAGTGTTTTATCATGATAAATCTCTGAAATGTATCATTTCAACTATACACATGTATTTCTTAATATATCCAACCTCTATTTTGTAAGAAAATACAATAATTAATCAACAATCTAAGTGATTACCAAGTTATTTAATACAAAATTTTAATTACGTATTTGTAAAAGTATCCCGTGAACTCACTGTAGACACAAGCAATTAATCTGGCAACACATATGCTTAGTGTTACCAGCTTAAATTATACAATTTGTGATTTGACCTGTCACGAAAAATCGTTTAAGCAATCTCCGACTTTATTTCGCACTGCATAAGGTACACACAGCTCACGTTACTTGTATCTGTAATTGTATTGCGCTATGCTCACTATTTATGGGTAGATATGTTTTTTTTATTTGTGTTTTATTTCATTAAGAGTGATAGGATCTAGCCACCCACGCCGGTAACGCGTAATGACTCGCCATATCTTACATTCGTGCGCAGTACTGTTATGATGAAAAGCGGTCAATTATTATCTGTGTTGGCTGTTTTTTGACGTACTAATTCATGAATATACTTAAAGACCTTGACTGGCGGTAGGACCACTTGTGAGTCCGCACGGGTGGGTACCACCACCTTGCCTATTTCTGCCGTGAAGCAGTAATGCGTTTCGGTTTGAAGGGTGGGGCAGCCGTTGTAACTATACTTGAGACCTTAGAACTTATATCTCAATGTGGGTGGCGCATTTACGTTGTAGATGTCTATAGGCTCCAGTAACCGCTTAACACCAGGTAGGCTGTGAGCTCGTCCACTCATTTATGGAATTAAAAAAAAGCTCTAGATCTGCAGAGGGGCTTTTTTTTTACTAGTGGTTCTTAACAAGCTATCAGTTCATACATATTGATTCCTATCTGAAGAGCCGGTGATCTGACGTCCTTGAATTACACTGTATGTCTCAAGGTGTAAAATTCAAGAAATGCGGCTTATGAGCTCTGACTCCCTCACAATTAGCCATAGGATCTAATTATTAAGGTAAGTTTTATAGTTATAATCCCTAAATTAATTAATTTTTATTCATTTGTTTCTCGATTCCATTAAAATATTCGTAACACTTCACTCGACGACTGTACAGCGTCACGTTACAATCGTTTCTGTACTCGTCTGTAACTTGTCCTCGACTCCTGTTTCATATCTCGCGGTGAAAGTTACACGGGTTACCGTAATTATAACAATACTTTACCATATATAGGGAGAGCCTAACCAAAAACTTATATACGCTGTGATGTGAAGCAAGCCACAGTTTGAACGGGAGACTACGAGGTATCACATCTCTCTTAACCATTACTGGCTCAAACAGTTGTCTATAGACTAAATAACTAACTCACTGATGGCTCAAAAGCTTCGTTACGAAGCCGTAAAATCTTAAAAATCTAATTTACTAATGACAGGCCGTATTGTGAGCTCACGTGGATATGTACCATATCCCTGCCCTTTGTCGCGAAGCAGCCATGCTTTTCGGCTTAAAGGAACACAGCCATTATACAATTGAGCCTTCGATCTCAGGTTGAGACTAACCGAGTGAAAGCAAAAAATCCTATTTCCAGTAGTAAAAAAAATGGATATTTTGTTGATTAATGTTAGTTTGATTGTTGTGTTCAAATTTCAATTTCGCAATTAAGTAATCTGTGGTAGATTAAATAGCTAAGTAGTTGCTTGCTTAGTTCAAACTTTTAAACCGTTAATCGCAAAAATCATAATTGTAGTAGTCTCAAGGTGTTGACAGTGAGAGCTGGAAATGTGTTAGTAAATCTTGGAGATCTCTCGCGCCATTGAACCTATTGTCCGACTTCTTTCTCCACGGGGCACTTTAAGCTTTTGATGCCTTTGCCCATAACCGTTGTAAACAGAAATATATAAAATGTATACGTACTTAAGGTGCATAAAAATTATAAATCCACAATTAGATTAGCAACACGTCCCTTTGACGTTCAGTTTCAATCAAAACACCATGGATTTGTTAACACGTATCGCTTTTTGCTGTCCAGAAGCACATTTTTCTATTCGCCGCTAATTTCCTAAACAAATTACTTAAGCCAATAGTTTTTTAAATCATCAAGACAGCACAACGCAAATGCCGCCTTAAAATACTTCGGAAACGAATAGGGTTGCCATTATGAGGTGATCTTTCGTGGATACGCAAACTTAATGTTATTAGTGGACAAGAAAAAGTCGTGTAGAGAAACTCCGTTTATAATTAGGTCGGATAATGTATCTGCTTATGACGAGTATAAAAACGGACAGGCATCGCGGTCTCGTCGTAAGTATTAGAAATTCAAATGGTGTAAAACCGGCATAGAATCCGCTGACTCACTTGAATTTAATTCTCCGGGTAGTGTTTTGTTTGGAGCTCCGTCGTTTCTGTTCGTGCTTTAATATTTATAATCGCTAGTTTAGCTGTTTGTCGATGTAAATTTTATGATAATTTTTAATTACAAAATTTTATAATATTAATATAAAAATTAACCAATAAATCAAACGGTTCTTTTGCATAAAAAGAAAAAAACGAAATGGCGTCATCTGATTTCGAGAAGTATTCGAAGTTTAAATTTTAATAATTAAACTCAACGAGTTCGTGCTACTACTTTTTTTTCACTTGTAATAATTACATCTATTACAGCATTACGATGTGAAAAGAATTTATTCCATCAAATGATCATATAACTTATCTTATATCCCATATACCATGTTTCGTGAAATATTTTTGTAATAATATCGTATTATTAATAGTAATTTTCGTGTCAAAAAAACAATCCAGAAAAAAGCCATAATAAAGATAATCAAAACGAATATTCCTAAAAGATCTAATATATAATTTAACTCAAAAATACTTACCTAACATCTTACTGAGGTCGGCATTATGCAGATCAGGATTTTCGTCGGCCAGCTTCTTACGCTCCACCTTCGCCCAAACCATGAATGCGTTCATGGGTCTCCTTATCCTGGCTTCCTTTAGCGCTTTCGCCTGTCCCATTTTAGTTGTGAAGGGAGCCCTCGCGTACTGCTGCGTCGAGTAATCTCTGATCGTGTCATAGGGATTTCGATAATCGTATGGCGTCCTGTAATCGATGCCGTAAGGTAATGTAGACCACACCAGTTCGGGACTGGTCTGGTCCTGGACCGAGTCTGCGCTGTTCTCGACGGCTCCTTGGACGTATTGCTCGTAGGTGCGGTGGTATGTTGGCGGTGATTCCGCTACCCCTGTGCCTCCCGAGTCCATCATGCTGGAGAAGAAAAAAAAATAGGTTATTAAATTGCACATTTTTAGTATATACTAGCCGCACTCTCCCGCTTCGCTGGGCATATAAAATTAACATTATTATTTATTGTCTTTATTATTAGGGAGTCCAACACTGATATAAATATTAACCTATCCATTAAGTACATATATTTTCTACGTGGATACCAAGTTTCAAGTCAATCGGATGCATGGTCCAGTAGTTATAACGGAACATCCGTAAAAACCACTACAGATTTATATATTAGTATAGATTAAGTGACCAATCCAATTGAACGATAATTTTAAGACACTTAAATAAAGGTGCCGGAATAAAATATAATAGTATTTTTTTTTTCAATTTTTATATATTTTTTGCAATCAAAGCGTATAATAATATTGAGTTGAGTATATATATAACTCATGTCATTATATTACTTTTTGTAGTTGCGAATACATTATAGTTTTCGTAGTCACAGATAATTAAGCTTAGTACAATATACAAATGTCGAAAAATAGATCCTTTAAGCTGTCGAGAATAACCTCTTGTGAGTCCGCACGGGTAGGTACCACCATTCCGCCTATTTTTGCCGTGAACTCGTAATGCGTTTCTTTTTGAGGGATGGGGCAGCCGCTGTAACGATGCTGAGACCTTAAAACTCATATCTCAAGGTGGGTGGCGGCATTTACGTTGTAGATGTCTATGGACTCCAGTAACCACTTAGCACAAGGAGGGCTGTGGGCTCGTGCACCTATCTAGGCAATAAAAAATTCATACTTCTCCGTCCGCGCAATTTTCGTAAAAAGGAGTACAACATTTTTGCTTCACGTATTAATGTATATAAGTAGATATTAGTTCAAAAGTGTTTATTTCAAAGCCGCCCAATCAACAACGTTTTTTTAACATTCGAACAAGACCGTAAAAAGGAATTAACGCGTTCCCTCAAATTCGAACCGAGTCCGCGGCCAACGTGATTTCGTAATTTCTAGAAACGTCATACATAAGTACACGGTTCGATGAAACCCGCCACCGGCATCACAAAGTCTTGGAATACGCGAGGAGGTGTCGTTTAACTATCGTTTAGTCGAAGCACTCCTCGGAAGCCGTAAGTTGAACCGTGATAGCTTACCGATCTACACTTGACACTGCCGTTTGACATGACAAGGCTTAGTGTTTAATTTGAAATTAATCGGCTGGCCCTTTATGTCCTTTTGGAAGGCAGTCGCCGGACGACACGCGGCCTGACCTGTGACATGAGCGGGTAATTAATAAATGACTTATTTACCTGTTCATTCGTCCCCATTAGGACAGAAGCAAGTAGGCCACAGGAATGAAATTACGCGGTAAATGTTCGCTTTAAAAGTCTGCCTTTTATTTAATGCTAAATAAAGCAATAAGGTAGATATCGGCTCAAGTGTCTCTCACAAAAGTTCTATTGAAACATCATTGGATGTCTAGCTTGCTCGATAGACGTAATGGCCGCTGTGAACGCAAAATTTATTGCATATATAACTAGGTACTGTATTACTAAATAAACCCCATTTAAGTTGCAAAACAACTAGCTAATTAATTTAATTTGTTTTATCCCTTTGATAGTTGTCAGAGTGTTGGAGCAAAGTTATAAAATGATTGTACATACTATCATCAGTCCTTGATACGTGTGCAAATATTCAAGTTAATTGAACCTCTCCAAGTCGATGAAAATGATGTTCAAGGATGCTGTTAGATAAAGGCATATTCGTCAGTACACATTATAAGTTTCAAATGAACTGATAGAAGCTGGCCTACAGAGCAATAGCCAGAGATTCAATCGCACTGTTTCTGTCTGGAGAACAACGTTAAGCCCACATGATTTTGTCATTATTACTGACTGTATAATTTTAGCTTTGCTTTTAAGGTACACCACAGAGTGAAAGCCGTCTTCCAGCTTAAAATACGAGCTCGAAGCTTCAATATGAGCTAGGGATTACTGGTGACCCGGAAGCCATTTTAGTTTTTCCAAGAGCGAGCACGGGCTCAGCTGGAACGGTTACGATTGGGTTGTATAGCTATCCCACTACCTTTAATTGGTACATGGTACATTTTTACTGATGGTAGGACCTCTTGTGAGTCCGCGCGGGTAGGTACCACCGCCCTACCTATTTCTGCCGTGAAGCAGTAATGCGTTTCGGTTTGAAGGGTGGGGCAGCCTTTGTAACTTTACTTGAGACCTTAGAACTTATATCTCAAGGTGTGTGGCGCATTTACGTCGTAGATGTCTATGGGCTCCAGTAACCACGTAACACCAGGAGAAATCATTAGACAATCCTAGTTCAAAGGCAAATTGTTGCTTTTGTACACAGACGATTACACTTCCATGATGGTGAATGGCTATTATCGCTCATGGGTTTCAAAGATGCCAGGGTTACAGCCAAGCCGTATACCCTGAAAATGAGACAATTTTTTAATGGCTCCAATTTGTAATCGATATACTGGAAGCTTCCGAGTATTAAATTAATTCAAAGTTGTGACAGCTCAATTAAGGGATTACTTGGAAAATGATTAATACCGAATCGAGGATGAAAACGCTGCGCCGGCGCCGCAAGCCGACACCGGTGCAGAGAGGGCGCCGCCGCGTGGGAAACACACATCACATTGTTCCAACGATTTCACTTCGCCGCCACATACATATTTATGTCATAAAACATGTGAAATTTAGAAATTATAGATTAAAAAAAATTTTTAGTGTTACTCTCTTTTTTTTTGTAACGTTGTAGGTAAGTGGATGAATTAACGAACCACGTGATGTTAAAAGGTAACAAGCATCTACTGATGAGTGCCAACATCCGTCTTAAGACAAAACGGATATGCCACCTCGCAGACTGGAACGCGATAGTGTTTTAAACAAGCATTAATAACAGATTTCAGTTTTATTTCACTATTTTTTTTTATTGCCCTTGTAGGCAGACGAGCATACGGCCCACCTGATGGTGAGTGGTTACCGTCGCCCATGGACTTCAGCAATGCCAGAGGCAGAGCCAAGCCGCTGCCTACCGTTTAGTACTCTCCACAAGCTTCGTTTGAAGAAGGACATGTCATAGCGCTCGGGAAACACCGAGGGGAGCTCATTCCATAGCCGGATGGTACGTGGCAAAAAAGAACTCTGGAAACGCACTGTGGATGACCGCAGTGGCTCCAGGTAGTATGGATGAACTCTACTCCGGTGGCGGGCGGTGCGATGGTAAAAACGAGATGCCGGTATCATCTCGAACAATTCCTCAGAGCACTCCTACATTACTTATTTCGTCGTGAAGACGTTTTAAACCTTTTGTTTTTTTTTTTCTTAGGAAAATTTCGATTCAATCTTTTAATACACTACATTATTTATTTAATCGTGATGACGTTTTAAAACTTTATTTTTTCTTAGAATTTTTTGTGACTGTTTTCTGGATTTGAACGCAGGCACAGTCGTGTCATCGTTCAATACGAATACACCGGACGTCTTATCCTTTAGGCCGCGATGGCTACTCCTGCACAATTTATTTTTTTTATGATTGAAGGATGACTGGCCAGCCCGCAGGCCTTTGCAGTGTCATCAGGACAGGTGGGCGAGTAAAGGCTCAACCAAGAGGGGTGGGATTTGCTAACAGCTGCCCAAGCACCTCCGAAGGAGAACTAACAGCTCAAGAGCAACTGCTTCGCGAATGAATCTGCTACCGGATCGGAATCGCGACCCGCTGAGAAGATCCGGCGAGAAACGGACGCAACTAAATGTTTAAGATTATGCGTAATGTTCAAAGTTCTCCTTAATTTCATTTTTACAATTACATTTTCTGAGTAGCTGTAACTTAAGTGTGCTTAAAACGTTCAAATTGTATAATTCTTATATTACACGTCACAGAGACGTCATCAGGTTTTTTTCGCAAACTGTTATTAGTACCTAATGGTAATAATTTTATTATATATCTGCTTTTTTTTTCGAAAAACAAATGACGACTGAACCTATCTTTATCGGTGAACAAAAAAAAATGACATTCAAAGTGAAATTTAGTTTCTAGTTAATAGTGTTAAGTGGTTACTGGAGCCTATAGACATCTATAACGTAAATGCGCCACCCACCTTGAGACTTGAATAAGTTCTAAGGTCTCAAGTATAGTTACAACGGCTGCCCCACCCTTCAAACTGATACGCATTACTGCTTCATGGCAGAAATAGGCAGGGTTGCATTTTGCGGTAGGCAGCGGCTTGGCTCTGCCCCTGGCATTGCTGAAGTCCATGGGCAACGGTAACCACTCACCATCAGGTGGGCCGTGTGCTCGTCTGCCTACAAGGGCAATAAAAAAAAAACGGGTGGTGGTACCTACCCGTGCGGACTCACATGAGGTCCTACCACCAGTAAACTGGCATAAGCTAAAAAATTGGTTTTTCAATTTCTTTTTCCAAATTTGAAATTTCCTTGTCCACTGGTGGGAAGCGTACCGTCAAGCATAAATAAATAGAAGTTAAATAAAAAACATCAAATCCACTAAAATTAAATTCCATTGAAAATTCATTCAACTCCACAAAGATCTTGTCATGGCATTTACTATTCAGTTTGATGGAATTGAAACATTAAACATCTAAATATGAGTTATCATATTTTACAGATAAACTTTAAAATGACGTCTTCCTATTATTATGATATCTTTTCTATATTTTTTTTGAGCCGATGAAAATATCAGCCTTTCCGCCCATGCTTAAAACCACACCTCCGCATTAATGGAACTCTATGAAAAAACATATTTCCTTATAGTTTATAAAACAAGCAGCTTAGCTAACATTTAATATTATGTTTTATCAAGTTTTTTTTTTTAAAGCCCATTTTATTACCAAGTTACCGTTTATTACGCCATAAAAATGACCTTTGATTATAAAGTTTTTAGTTTTTTAATCGTGCAACGAGAATACTTCACTTATGGATGGGATCATGGACGGTCATGAACATCAGCAGTGCCGAGGCAAAAGCCGAGAACTCTCCAAAGACATCG